ATGTGTGTGTGTGTGTGTGTGTATATGTGTGTGGATTTTCACCCCCTTCTTATGTTTTGTGAATTATTACTGTAAAGAGAATCTGGAAAATGTATGTGGTACATGTTTGAAATGTTATCACTGAAACTGTTAATAAAAATTAAAGTGGAACAAACAACATGAATGTCCATCCTTTCTAATCTGACGTAAACAAACTGTGATGATGCTTAAATCCTAGACATGACTCAGACCGCACCTCCAGTCTCTGCGTAGAAAAATCAGTCTAAACTTGTTTCAAACTTAGTTTTCTATTTAACCAAGCAAGTCCCTTTGAGATCAAATATCTGTTTTAAAGGAAGCCTGAATCTGTTTTTGGACTGTGGGAGCAAACCCACACAGACATGAAGAGAACATGCTAACTCCTCACAGAAAAACCCTGGTCCCAACTGAAGATTGAACTCTTGACTTTCTTGTTGCGAGGCAACAGTGTTAACCACTAATCCACCATGCTGCCCAACTTGAAGCTATTTGTAGAAACTAATAAACCAATCATGTATTTTTAATATATAAACTAAGCCAGTGTTACTAAAGATTTTTAAATCAAGGGCACTTGTTAAAAATATGTTTTCATTTTTGAGTAGGTGTCACTTGTAAAAAAAACCCAACAACATGTACTCAGGTTCACCAGATTTTTGTTGATTCAACGTGTCAGGTTTTACAGAGCAGTAGAAACCAAAAGTACAAGGAGTGTGCTCTGTGTTTCTCAAGATGCTGTAGGAAGGAAAGATACAGGCGAAGCAGGAAGCAACATTGATAACTCTAAAGAGTTTATTCATGTCTGATGTGTAAAGTAACATGTTTGAGGTTTTGGCTGTGATTAAACTTAAAATGAAAAACATATATATTTATTTTTTTTACCTCACAATAAAAGACATTGCCAGTACAATCCCCTCGCCCCAAACAAATAAAATTCAAGCATATGTTTAAAACAATAATGATAATGCAGAATCGATTGGAGTCGTATCCTGGCTGTTTTTGGCAGACAATTTGCTGTTTCCAGCTGTGCACATCAGGGGGCGCAGTCAGCAAAACGATTGTCTTTCATCAGATCTTAGCTTTAGGGTGTTTTTTTTTTTTTTTAACTTTGCCATAAACTGTTCCAGCAATAACCGCTCAAACATTCCTAACTTGGGTTTCTAACTCTGACTCTGAAGAAAATGGGTGTATTTACAACAGGGAAGCTGTGTCAACATGTATGGTACAAAAATAATACTTCATATTTGCCAAAAAATGAATTAAAAAAGGTTTTATGTTCCCTTTGGCACATTTCATTCCTGATCAGAGTTTTAACAGAACCCAATAACGAGAACACATGAAAAAAACAAGCATTCAATATAAACAATCCACATGTAATTTTATCACCGAATGTTTAAAAAGTCAAAATTAGTGTCACATTCTTTTTGGAAAAGGTGTTGCCTTATTGTGAAAACTTCCAGCTGACAGACAACTCACTATCAGTAACTCATCCAGTCAACATTTCCATGTATTTACATACGATTAGTCAGTTTCCGTTCAGTGAGTTTTCAGTAGCTCCTCAGAATATGTGTATCATAAAGTAGTCAGTGTACACCATTCACAAATAAAATGTCAACATTTATAGTAAATGTGTAAACGTGTGGCAGAGGTCGTCAACCTTTCCCGTCCAAAGACCCGTTTCTGCCACCTTGCTGACTAAAGAAAATGTGTCCAGAGTAAAAAAAAACTATAAAAAAAAAAAAAAAACTGCCAGAACTGTGATCATTAACTGGCCCATGGGCCATTTCCATCCATCCATCCATTTTCTTTACCCGTTTATTCCATTTTGGGTCACGGGGGTCGCTGGTGCCCATGTCCAGCAATCACTGTGCGAGGGGCGGGGTACACCCTGGACAAGTCCATCACAGGGCCACATAGAGACAAACGAGACAAACAACCATTCACTCTCTCACTCACACCTAGGGACAATTCAGAGTTACCAATCAGCCTAACATGCATGTTTTTGGACTGTGGGAGGAAACCGGAGCACCCGGAGAAAACCCACGCATGCACGGAGAGAACATGCAAACTCCACCCAGAAAGGCACCTGGACCGGGGTTTGAACCAAGGACCTGCTCGCTGAGAGGCAGCAGCTCTACCAGTTGTGCCACCGTGCTGCCCTGGGCCATTTCCAGTTTTTTTTTTTTTTTTTTTGTGGGGTCAGTGGGGTTGGGGTGAACCCTGTACTTTGAGGCTTAAAGTAGAACTACCTCATTAGGTATTGTATAAATACTGTACATGTTGTTTAGTTTATTTTAAAACTCAAAACCTAAAACAATTTGTGACATTTATTGGTATTTTTTAGTATATACCCACTAAAAACACTGATCTTTGAAAACCTAAGTGAGTCCTTAATTTATGGGAAATTAATAATGTACTTATCCTCATTTGGAAAATAAAGTGTACAGTTAAACTGAATATAAAAGTTAAGCTAGCGTCTTTGAAAGTTTAAATAAAAGATCAAGGACTCTGTTTATTTCAACTTTATGTTTATATCCAAAGCAAGCTTGTAGTTTGGTTTTATACTATTATTTAATTGACTTTCCATATTTAAAAAAAACCCCACAGATATGTTCCTGTTTTTAGTATTTTATATTGCTCTATAATGTAGCTGTTCTTGTTTCGGGGTTTTTAAATATAATAGTCTTCCTTTTTTTTCCCCAATTTATAAACTCCCTTTTATGATTGTCCACTGTTGTCATCATTCTTTATTAAATCAGGTCTCTCTTGTAAATGAGTCCTCGAGGCTCAATGAGACTAACCTGTAAGTATTATCATTCACAGGCTTTCAAAAAAAATAAAAAAAAACTTCTAAAACTAGTCTTTTCTGTTGTGGGTATAAACATAAATTATATTCATTATCTTTTCTTACAGATCTCATTGTTCCATATTTTCCTAACACAGCTCTTC